GTGCAGGAGTGCTGTGTTCTAGGATCTTCAGCATTGCTGAGGCTGTATGAGGAACCACAGGGATTCAAAGTAAGGTTTACTAATCCAGAGGAGAAAGCATCAGAGAAGGAAATCAGGTTTCATGGGACCTTTGAGTGGATTAATTCAAATTTTTATTGGGATTCTATCATAATTGACTCCAATAGTGATTTTCTTATTCTGTTTGGCAAGGTCATTCTTTCACTGGTCATCTTATTATTGCATGAGTCTTCCTTCTGCCACTTTGAATATTAATAAAATGTGGTTCACCTTCATTCCTCAAGAAAACCTGTAATTTTAGAAATTATTTTAAAATATCAATAAGAACAACAAAAATCACTTTTCCCATGATTTTTAGGGTGGATCAACAAGACCTACTCGTCAGAAAAACATTTATCTCTGTGCATATGCTGTTTTCACATCTTTAGCATTTATCAGTAAGCCTCTCATTTAATTAATCTCATTTGCTGTGGCTTCCATTTAATGCAAAATGAAGATAATATGTAACTTTTGGCGATTCTGCTTTTTGTTATTGTAATTTGGCCATTTTCATAAAGGGTTCAACTAGAACACTTGTATTAGGTTTCTTTTATTTCCAACGTATCATCCATGGCTTTTTGAGATATTTTTCCTGTAGACTCATGATTTAACCAAATAAATTTTGTACATTATAATTTTATTTATATTGATTATCTCCTTTTCCCCTAACAGTTTTTTTTTTTTTTTAAATTTTCTTTCCACTTGCTGACTTTACTGCACTGCAAAACTAGAATTCCCTTTCACCCAGTGCTGTACAAACTCAATTGTGGAATTGTGAAATTTTGCTTAGTAGTTGATTCCAGTGGAGTTAATACTTTACATTTTCAGTCTTACTATTTTTTTCTCCAGTAAATTGAATAAAATTTTCTTCTTTCATGTGAATTAGTTTCTTGAAAGAAGTGAACAGGAAGTAATCTTTTGTTAGTTTATTTCCAGGAGACTTGGCAGCATGTCTGGTCATACGTGAAGTGTCTGAGTTTGCTGAAATCTCTATTTCTTTATTCAGGCTTTCAATTGCAAATGTGTGTGGGGGCTTAGGATGGGTTATGGAGATTTTCTGCGATATTATTATATTTTGCCATTTTTTAAAAGGCCTAATCCTGAATCCATGTCTCCCTGAACTGTGTGTGCCATCTTAATGTTCTTCTAATTCATGTCTGTGTCTAATGCAAAAGTATTTTTTGTTGTCCCATTCAGCTTTTATAGCTTGCAGTTTCACAAAGAAAAGGGTAAAATGCTGGATTTAACAACCATTACTAACATGATATACTTTTGAATACTTATGCATTTTCAATTGTTTTTTTTTTTTTACTTGGATTGTTCAGGAACATACAGAAGATTAGTTTTATGCTTTTAGCTGTAGTCATACTGAACATATTCACTGCAATAGATTGAAATATATTGTTGAGAAGGAGGTGACTGGAGCATGCTTTTTGTGTGCTTTCATTCAGTTCCCACTGATACCAGTGGAAGTGTTTACCCTTGGGTTTGAGCAGGCTCTTGACTAATGGGTTTTAATTATAACAGCTGAGCTGGAAGAGTTGTTCAGTGCTGTGAATATAAAGCAAAATGCTTACTGCCTGCTGGATCTCCAAAGGAGTAAAGGATGTTGCTTTATCTCAGTGTTAGTTGTGTTTTCTTCTCATTAAGTGTCCTTCTGTTTGCAGATTTATGTAACATATTTGCTTTCCTCATTCATTAAGCACCAAATGGAAACAAATTTGCCAATTACCGCCAGTGTCAAATTAGTTTGGTTCCAGAGTGCAAAATTTGCCTTGCTCATTTCCACTATACTTGGAAAAGAAGCAGGGCTGTGTGCTAAGGGGTAGTATCTGTGCTTCAGAAATGTAATTTCATTTTTCTTTCTCATTCTTTGTTGCCTTCAAAGCATAAATGCACTGGAATAAAGCTGAGCCGTGGTTGAAAAATGGCAGTCCAGGGCATAATCTCAATAACACTTTGAAAAAATGTTGTTACCTGTCTCGTGAGGAGCATAATGGCTCTTCACACGTCATGAAAATTGGCAATGACATTTTCTTTGGACTACATTTCCTATGTGTTTTTTTTTCTGTCATGCTCATTTCTTTAATTTTATTTCAGATATTTTCTCCTATATGTGCTTTCTGAACGAGTTCTCACATGCTAGTGATGCATGGTTTAAAATGTTAAACTGTTGGATTTGTAAAGCTAAATGTAATCCTACAAATTTTACTGCAGTGGGCACGTCTAGGTAGGAATATCTCTGATTGCTCTCTGAGTGCTAGTTTGACACTTAGCCCAGGATTATTTATGTAGTCACAGTCAATCTGTTCTGTCCATTTGCCCAGTTTATGTTGCTAAGGTGTTTTTACTGTCACTTGCACATTGCTTTCCTTGTTCGGTTTTCCTTCTGCTGGCTTTATAAAGCTAAAAATATTTTAATTGGTTTTTGGCAGACACAGGAAATTGAAAAATGTACACTTATTAGCTCTGCCTCTTGATCATTCACATGAATGTAGATGTTTTAGTCTCCCTAACACTTATAGGGTCAATTTTTCTAATTTCACACTGAATATGTTAGTGTGCAGAAGTGTTGTGCTGTACTGAATAGGATAAAAATCTCATTTTCTAGGAAAAAAAGACAAGAAAAATTTTGAGTGTCTGTTTTTCTTCAGGCTGGCACTCTGTTTGTGCATTTATTTGTTTAGAATTTTTTAAGTTTGGGACAGTAGCTTACTTTTTAATAGGCTGAAATGATGTCAGAATGGAAGAGGATAAAAAGACATCATTAATTTGATAATCTGTCCTAAAAAGGCCTCATCAGGCATAAATTTTCAGCAGATATCTGAAGATGTAATACACGTAGCAATTGGAATCTGTATGAAGTACGGTCCCAAAAACTAAACGTGTGAGACCAGACTGCTCATATATTCTGCAACAGAGACTGCATTTATTTTGGGAGTGAGATGAGGCATTTATGTGCAATTCTAGTGAGTTTGATACCACTGAGTTAAGAGAGCAGTTTATGCCTGCTGAGGATTCAGTTCAGTTTCATTGGAAGAAAAAAAAGTTGTTTTGAACCAGCAGTGAAGTTGGTTTCTTTGATATCAGAGTGAAAGTATTTATGCTCCCTGCTGAATACTTTTGTGCAAGACATTCTGTGAAAGTGAATTTATTTTCTGTTATTACAGAGGGAGTGTAGAAGTGTTAAAAGGACTGTAATGCATTAGTTCCTGGTGTTTTAGTGAAAGTCTTTCAAGTCCACTTGCATGCATCTTGTTGGTGAAGCTTTGTGTGTGTACATATTGTTCTGCAAAGTACTGTTCTCTTTGCTTATCCACTTCAGGTCTCTTCATGATGCAAACCCAAGCATTATAGCTATTGCTTTGTGGTGATTTAGCTGTATAATAATAAATATTCTGTCTTCATTTTACTTTCACATGAATTCTTGCTGTTAATAACCTGCCTCCTGCATTTTGACTAATTCCCTTTAGCAATACTCCTAGAAAAGACTAGTGACGTGGTTCCTGTACAGCCACAATTTAAGTAGCATGTATGTACCAGAGTCAATAAATAAATACTCGTAGCTGTTTCTGAGAGTCCATAAATAAAGATAGCCATAATGGCCTTGGTGGTTGTCTTTCTGAGTAAGACACAGTTTGGTTTTGTCCTGCTCCCCTACCCTGCTGTCTCATTAAAAAAATAATAGAGATGTAAACTACAGGTTCTGACCATCTATGCCCATTAACAGTGCCTCATACCTCTTTGGAAAGAATTGGAATTATTGTTTCAAAAAAATTGGCCTAATTTTAATTTTGTTTACATGCCTATAAGTTACATGGATTTAATATTGCACGTAATTAAGGAATATTTCAAATATTTAAAGTTCAATTTTAAATTTACTAATCTCTTTATCATCTTGGTTTTTTTGTTACTTTAAGTGAATTTTTAAAAATCCTATAAATTGGTGTCACATATTTGTTATTAATAAATTAAGGTTGAAGTAATTTATATTGTTATTTAAAAATCCTTTTTATTTTCCTCTCTAAAACATTATCACTCTTTAGTAGCTATGAAAAATCAGAATTGTTTTAAATAAGGTAGCAAACAGGCAGAAGACTGAGGGGTATTACTTCTGTGAAGATGCAGTAAAAAAAAATGAATAATGAAAAGAAGAAAAAGAGGTGTGATAAGAACAAAGAAAGAAAGAAGACAATAGTGGAGGAGGAATATGTCTTACTTGTGGTTTGCCTGGACCCCTCCCGAGGTCTGTAGAAGCATTGATGCTGCTGTAGAGAAAAGGCAGAGTGAGAAATATTTTTGCAATAAGTGCACAGGCTTTTGAAATCTGTGCTTGACTGGTTTGCATGAAGCTCCTGCTGTCTGTGGGAACACATTCTTAGGCTTCAGAGAAATTAGAACACATAGGGCAAGACTTTGCTCAAAAATCATGAAAACTCCTGTACAGATTTTTCATCATACTGGGGTCCTGTGCTTCAAACTTTACATACATGTGGCTGAGCTAATTGCATGAGGTTCCCATCTTTGTGGGGAGAAATGGAGAACTTTAATCTGCCTGTCCATGTGTTCTGATGGAGCCATCCAGCACTGGTGACATGGATCTGCCAAAGTACTGACTATTTCTTCTCCTTGATTCTAAAGGAAGACTGGAGCAATGAGTCAGATGTACATGCATGCAGTATAAATATCTACTTCATTCATGTCCAGCCAGACCTTCAGACTGAAAATCTGTTTTAGAAATTAGCTTAGTCCTTATCCCAAAGGGCTGTATATTAAGACAGCCTCTGAAATAATTTTAAGTCCTGAATACCTGTTGCTTCTAATTTTTTTTCTGCATTTATAGTAATTAATTACATTTTTTATTTAAACAGTGGTAACATTTGGGTTTTTTCACGGAAACATTAGTAACAATTCATTTTTATCTGCTATTTTTTTAACCCCAGAAACTACCTCTTCAGATTGAAGCTTGAGGATCTCTCTCTAATACAGGTATGTTTTATTTCTGTTTCCATAATTCCTCTGCAAGATGAAGGTAACCAGATGTTTTAAAGCAGATAATCAAGATATTCATAAGCTTCATAGCTACACATAAATATGCATCTGTTTTTGTCCTTTTTCTGGCCCCTTATTATACAAGTCATATTATCCCTTTTAATTCCAGATTAGCCTTTGTCCCAGGCCATACAGATCTGATTTTGCCTTACTCTGCTGTGATTTTGTCAGAGTGGATTTTCATAGTATTCATTAATACAGTTTAAAATTAACTACCTTTAGGTTCAGTACTGTCCCTATTAATTCATAAAGTAATACTGTACAGGTGAGTACAGAAAAGTAAAATGCTTTCAGGTAAGGCTGTCTTTGTGATTTGTAAAACAACTTGTGTATGCTTTAATTAGGCTTTTGGATTTTATTTGCTTTCCTAGACTACTAGAAACAAGATCTGATGTTAGCTTATATTTAATCAAAATTGCAATATTAATAAACATTCAGTTTTGTTGCTGGTATTTAAAGCTGTGACACATCAAGCACTTTTAATATACAGAATTTGGGGCTGTCTACTCTCATCTTCCGTGCCATATTCAATATCCTGTTCTGTGCCATATTAAATATTAGGACAAATAATTTAAATCCTAAAGATTTTTGTTGCGAGGCTGCACTTAGAGGTCTCTGATGGTGCCATTGTAGTTTATGCTGCTTATTTATAGATTGAAGTTCATGACTTTCCTTTGTTAGGACATGTGTCAGTAGGCTGAATTCACTAAAGAGGGAGAAATCTGTAGATTACAGAGGCTTATAATTGTGCTGATTCAATCAGACCCCTTCTCACTCCAATCAGAAAAAAGTTACAAACTGAGCACAGAAGTCATGCTGTTGATGTTATAGTAGGCTATTGGTTTTCATTCTTATGCCTTTAAATATAAACAGTCATCTCAAGTTAATTTTTGGTAATGTTTCTTATTTTGTCTTAAATGTTGTAGCTCTGGTTTGCCTCATTATCTTCTAACATTCATCAACAGATCTTTAAAGAATTTGTGTTACTAAATAAAAAATGTTCTTTTTTTTTTTCCTTTCACCATCTTCCTTACACCACTAAATATATCCCTATACTTAGTATTTGATTTTTTTCCCCTTATTTTCAAGACTACCATTATGATTCCTTCATATTTTTGCTTCCCAGATTTCTCTTCCTCTTATTTCCCTTTACTTCATTTACAGTTTTGTTAGCGTGCCTCAGGACAGCTGTTATCCAAAAGATGTGTTTCCTTGGATGTGCCAGTTTTGGCAGCTCCAAATCTGCTGTGAGGTGACTGAAGCCTTCGTTTTAATTTGTAGGGTGAATTATTTAGGATTTCCAAACTTGCTAAACAACACATTCAGGTCTTCTCTTGTAATCTGGTATTATGTTAAAAGAGACAGGAACAAAAGTGGGAAGCAAAGCAAAAGCTGTATGAAATCCTAGCAGAACAGAATGACGGAATTTCAGGGTAAAAATAAAGCTTGTTGTGGTTTAACTCATTGGTACTTTATGTGCTAGTTAGCTTTTTTTTGGCAAGGGACTGAGCACTTCGACATTTCATGTATGGACAAAAGAAATTTTCTTTTAACATTTCTTTTTCTTCACATAGTTTTTGTCATAGTAATAATGTAAAAAAAAACACCTCTCTTTTAATTCTTTTACTTATGTTGCTTTTACTTGCTTGCTTTGATTTGTTTTTGTCTTTTTTTTTCTTTTTTTTTTTTTTTTTTTAAAGAGCCATCTTTTGTAAAAACATTACTTTGTTTCACAAGCTAATAAGCCATGTTTTCACATCTGGGAAAAAAGGCACACAGTGAAGTGCTAGCTGTGAGAGACATTCACCATAGCTCAATAACAAGACAAAAAAGCCTAGAAACAAAAAGCCTATATACCTGTTGTTTAATTATCTTAGAAAATTGCTCAAGCTCTAGCTTTGCTATTGTGTGTGGGAATCAGAAGAAAAATTACTGACTTTTTCTCTTGGACAGCAATACTTCCAACATGGAAGCAAATTGGAACAATTTGCATCCTACTTTTCCATAGTTTTCAATTAGACTTTTATAATTTGATTTTCTTAACACTGACACTTGAGTTTTTTCTCTTTTTTTTTTGTTTTAATTAACTGATTCATCAGTTGAATCTTTCTTCCTTAACACTGACACTTTGAGTTTTTTCTCTTTTTTTTTTTTGTTTTAATTAACTGATTCATCAGTTGAATCTTTCTTATTGTACTTTTCTCTCTGGAAAACAAAGGGAATGCCCCAAACTAAATTGTGACCATTGACGCACTTCAGTTATTTTTGTCTAAGTTCATTTCCTCAACTGTCATGCTTAACTGTCTGTTGGAATATATTAGTAGTGCACACACTGACGCTGGGAAGACAATAGTCTTCATGTTTCATGTGATAAACTGCAACAGTAATAATCTCATATTTATAGCAGAAGCATATTTGAAAATACTTTGTTTACAAATTCCTCTGTATTTTTTGAAAGGTAGACATAAACAAATGGAGTATCATCAGGCTTTGCAAGATTACCAGATCTTGTTTTGTAATAGGAAAGCTTTCTATAAAGGAATACATTAGATAATGACTTCTTGTTTGCAAACTTTTTCAAAAATTTCTTTGGGCCAAAATATGCGTATGACCTGTCTTTTATAAGTGTATGACTGGAAAATAGTTTGTAAACACAAGATAATCTTCCTTGGAAAAAAACAAAAAACCAGCAGTTTAGAGGAGGTTAATCTCTTGTAGATGTGGGGTTAGTGTGCTTCCAGAGTGCATCAGACAGGATGTGCATTTAAACATGTGCTGGCGCTGTGTGCTGAGACATTGCTGCCCATTGTGGGTGCATTAGAGTTGTCATCCCACATGTCATGATTCTGTGCTCTGTACTTTATAGGAAGAGCATGTTGTTTGAATAAGCAAGTTTCATATGATAATATCTTTAGCAAACCAGTATTTGATGTATCTCAGCAATTTTCTTTGTGTAGCAGAATAAAGAAGAATAGAGCAAGTGAAAGCCTTTTAAGCTCTTGACGGAGAAGCCGAAGAGTCAAATTGTTTAAAGCTGCCTGTTGGAACAATGCATGCATAATGATTATGGATTAGGGAAGAAGCACTCTTTGGGGTTGTAGAAGGGCAAATATTTTATCTCTCTCTCTGCAGCAATTGTAGGCTCACAGACAGAGAAGGCCTGACTCTGCATGGATTTGTTTTGTGAGCTTTGCTTTGTTATTGCTCACCTCAAGTAACAGTAAACGATCCATAAAAACATTAGCCAAGATGAAAGCTAGACTTCCTGAAAAGTCTGTTATATTTCTTCAAATATAAAAGCAGACATGTAAATAGTAGTTTTTAAATGAGTAAATGGATTTTCAAAAACATACTTAAAAAACCATGACATCTAGGAAAGGTCAGTATTAATAGTGGGGCTTTGGCATTATGTGGTGGGTGGCTGTCGCAAGTTCTGTTCTCTCACATCTGTTCTCAACTTTTCTTTTTTCTAATTTTTTTGAAATGAGAACTTTCAAATTCAAACATTTATTTGTGTCTGCCTACATGACAAATTTGCTGATGTGTCTGTAAAGACTAAAAAGCTTATACATGGTGGTTTATAAAAGTTTTTATGCTACAGTTGCCATAAACAATAAGCCAGCCTGCATAATCTTTTCACAAACATACAGAGTGTGCATCTTTTCTTCTTCCATAAGGTGAAATTCTGTATAAGCTCAGGTCGTTAAGGCATTTACAGGGCACATGCTTGAGTTTACCTTTCTCATGTAAGTGTTTCATCTATGAAGTCTATTTGCTATTTGAGGTGCCCAGAAGGTTGAACATGAGCCTGTTCCACCTGCTTCTGTATTTACATAGTTCACCACAGGTCTTATTCTCATTCAGAACCTGTACATCTTTCAGTTACAACAACACACACTTGAGAGTCCACTTTTAAAGGTAATTTTAGCCCATTTTTGCTGCAAGATTCAAATTAAATTCTTTATACAGGCTACGAAGCTCATAGTTTCATTTTTATGTGTGCTATTCAAATTTAAATTCTGGAATCTTGAGGATTTTGGTTTATAGATTTGTTTACATATATGTGTTTATACATGCACATGTATTAACAAGGCATTCAAGGAATTAAAGGCAAGATTGGAACTATGAATTTTCTAGAAAGGGAGCTGCTCTGGAGAACAAATTGTACCTAAGGGAATTCTTGCTATTGTTTGCTTGTGTCAAGAGTGTCGGAAATACATGTTACATGTGATAGTTCACTTTGATAAGAGACATTAATGGTTAGATGGTAGGCTAAATAATGAGTTAAGTAAATTGTACTATTCTTTGAGTATATATTTTGTGTGCACCTATGAGAAATAAAGAGGGAATTTGATTCCATGATTGAGTTTTTAAAAAATTCATATATATAACCTGAAATGCTTTTTCAAAGTTTACCTTAAAACTTACAAAGTTTTAATAAAGAGTATGATTATTAACAAAATTTAATTTTAAATATTTTTAAATAAATCAAATCCTCACCAGGGTTGTAATTCCATTTTAAAAATAACAATTGTTTGCTACTGTTATAAACAGAGGTTACTATATCTTTAATGAGAAGCCTTCATAACCTTAGTTTGTCTTTGGTTAAGGTACTTAGCCAAGTCTATAAAAAATGGAGGTACAAATCACTTGAACTCTCCTTACAGTTAATTTTTGGGTCAGAGCTCTGAGTTCCCTTTGCTATGAACAAAATGAAAAGTTGTTAGTAGTTATGTAGGATCAAATCTTTACTTTATGCTGGTGATAAACACTTGTAGTTTTAATCAACAAATTCAGAGTTAAAGGGAATGAAGCTTTAATATTTTAACCTCAAGTTTTTCAAGTCACTAAATAAATAGAATCTTTAAAAGGCTGCTTAATTATTTTTCTAAAAATTTTGTTTAATGTGTTTCAAGGCATTTATTTTGTGTTGTATG